CAGCCAGTTAGCCTTGTTACTTTCATGGTTTTGAGTTTTGTTCCATATTTTACTTCTCCTCTACCCTGAACCTTCTAATGCAATCCTTTTCAGGGCACTGGATAGTTCTAGTGGTCTCAGGGTTGTGGAGCCTGATGTGGCCCATGGATCCACTGGACTAATGATTTCCTTGTGCCTTTCAACTTTTGTCATTCTTCCTTCTGGCAATGGAGAGCGAATAATTGCATTTTATTATGTTTTAAACAGTTTTATTGGCGTGTAATCCACATAATCACTTCATGCTAATGGGCCCTGGTATCATCTGAGATAATAGTACTAATTCCGCAGGCCCAGTGACTCATTCCATTTACGTGTTTGAATATGTCTGAGAAATTCTCATAAATGTGCCCCCCCTTTTTTTAGTATATGCAAATAAACTTATTTATTTATTTATGTTTAAGTGTTTGTCCTTTTTTAAAAAATCACTTTATTGGGGGCTCATACAACTCTTATCACAATCCACACATACATCAATTATATAAAGCACATTTGTACATTCATTGCCCTCATCGTTCTCAAAACATTTGCTCTCCACTTAAGCCCCTGGCATCAGCTCCTTATTTTTCTTCCTCCCTCCCCACTCCCCCCTCCCTCATGAACCCTTGATAATTTATAAATAATTATTTTGTCAGTCTTACTCTCTCCGACGTCTCCCTTCACCTACTTTTCTGTTGTCCATCCCCAGGGAGGAGGTTATATATAGATCCCTGTAATTGGTTCCCCCTTTCTACCCCACCCACCCTCAACCCTCCTGGTATCCCCACTCTCACTACTGGTCCTGAAGGGTTCATCCTCCCTGGATTCCCCGTCTTTCCAGCTCCTATCTGTACCAGTGTACATCCTCTGGTCTAGCCAGATTTTTAAGGTAGAATTGGGATCATGATAGTGGGGGGAGGAAGCATTACAGAACCAGAGGAAAGTTGTATGTTTCATCATTGCTACGCTGCACCCTGACTGGCTTGTTCCCCCCCACCCCCACCCCTCCCGCGTCCTTTCTGTAAGGGGATGTCCCATTGCCTACAGATGGGCTTTGGGTCCCCACTCCGCACTCCCCCTCATTCACAGTGATATGACTTTTTGTTTTTTGATGCCTGATACCTGATCCCTTCGACACCTCGTGATCACGCAGGCTGGTGTGCTTCTTCCATGTGGGCTTTGTTGCTTCTGAGCTAGATGGCTGCTTGTTTATCTTCAAGTCTTTAAGACCCCAGATGAAATGTGCCCCTTTTTTTGCCTCATCATATTCATGGATATCTTTGCAGCAAAGGTCTACACATATACAAATATCATCTGTCAAATCTTTATATATTTATAGGTATACTCCCTCTCTCCCTTTTGATGATTTCTAGATCATTCAGAAATCTGAATCAAGAAACATTTAATAATGCAGCCAGAGGCTTGAAATTGTCCTTCAGCTCCTTCAGCTACACTGAGCATGTTCATTCCTTTCTGTTTTCTAACCCCATCTTTACATTTTTTCATTATAATGCTTTATTTCGTCTTCTAAGTCACCCTTTGCAATCTTCTGCTCAGCTCTTGTAGCTCATCATTCTTCCTTTCGTTTCTTGGTGTTATCCCGCAGCTCCACAACGCATTTGGCCTTCAGCCTGTCATGTTCATGTGCCAAGTCTGTTCTTGAGCTGATGTCTACATTCAGGTGAAATAGATTCCAGGTCATATTTTGGTTTACTGTATTTGTTTGAATTTTCTTCACCTTCATTCTGAACTTCCATGTACGCCTTGTTTTCACTGGGGCTACTGAGCCTCTCCGTCATCCCTTCCCACAGATGTAGGATTTGATTTCTGTGTATTCCAACTGGCAAAGTCTCCGAGTATACTCACTGTTGGTTGTTTTCACAAGGTATTTGTAATGAAGACATCTTGAAAAATCCTGTCATGCATACAATAGATACCTAATACCTGTTAAATTGCTAAATTGAAAGTTTATTTTCTGCTGAGTCAAAATTTTATTATGTATAGAAATAATATATATATATATTTATGTTATAATTATACATAAAACCCCGGGTCATTTCACAAGAGTGATTTGAGTCAGAGCATTCTATGCTGATTTTGTTTCAACTGTGTAATACTGGTCATTGTTGAAGAGATGCTTTCTTTTGATGAAAAGTAATTGTGACCTTAAAAAAATGTATCCTTTATAATACTCTATGTTGTAATGTTGCCATTTGTAACATGATTTTTTTAATTCATTTGCCTTAAGTAGAACTTTGCTGATTGTAAAATTAATGAATTTACTATTTAAAATTTTTTTTAATCGTTTTATTGGGAGCTCTTCCAGATATCATTCTATATGTGTGTACATATGATTACATATTAATGCATGTGCTATTTCACCTAGAAAAGTTGAAAACTTTTATATTATTTAGCCACAAATTATCATCTTTAGCATGTGATAATTTAGCCAATTTGTTTTTATTTTTTTCAGAGTTCTCTTACCACCATTGAGTTACCCTTCCTTTTTCAGTACCATATACAATGTAAATCCAGAAAGTATGTCTGCAGTTTAGCTTTAAGGCTTTCTTTGTTTCCAGGTACCCTGTGCAGTCCCTTGAGCATCTCAAATCATCCCTTGCTGTTTCTTTGTTTATATGGAACTGACATTTTTTTGATTTATGAATATCTTTATTTAGTGCCTTCCATCATTCTTGAGTTACTGTTCTCTTCAGAGCCTCCCACTATGGGATTCTGCTTACTTTTTCTCCATAGAATTTAAAATATGTTACACCGACTCTAAGCCTTTTAGATCTCAAGTTGAGTAATTTTCTCACCCTCTTTTTGGATCATTTCTCTTGGGTACAGATACTAACTCTGTCATCTAGCCAGACAGTCGGGCCTTTCTCGTTATTGTTAGCACTTTCTGAGTCACTAAGTATTCTTTATTAGCATTCATTTTGCACTAGTATAGTCAGGCAATGCAGATTAAAGCCCACCGTAGTTAGATTTCATGAGGAGCACTAATGGCATAGGAGTTGTGCACTGGACTTCTAGTCATAAGATCAGCAGTTCAAAACCAGCAGCTGCTCTCTGAGGGAAAATAAGACTTTCTACTCCTGTAATGAGTTATGGTCTCAGTTGGAATCAACTCTTTGATGGTGAATTTGGGATATACTCATATTTGCCAATAAATTACTGTGTATTTTTGGCTCATTCATTAAACTTTGTCAGCTTTGTCTTCCTTATCTGTTGGAATAACAGAATTAGACGGTGGTGATCCCTGAAGCTGTTTTAATGCTAATATCTATGATTTAAAATTATTCTAAATTACTTTTTAGATATTCTAATGTAAATATTAAACAAAAATTAGTCCCACAACTTTGCTTTTATGACCTATATCCAAGCTGTTATTTATCTGATATATACTTGGAGAGTTGCATTAGAGATTCAAATATTGAAGAACTTTTGAACTGTGGGTAAACAACCAATGTCCCAGCTCTCTCTCTCTCTCTCTCTCTGTTTTAAAGAGCTCGCAGTTTATTAATGGTTGACAGTTAACAGGGGAGGAGGGAGGAGGAAAGGGAGGGTCGACGATGATGAAAAATGACAATAGTTACGGTAAGGCTGCACAACAATGACTGTAATTACTGGAAGTACAGTTCCTTGTTGTTAGGGCCATGAGTCACTTCCAACTCATCGCCACCCTGTGCCCAGCAGAAAAAAGTGGTCTGCCGCGACTGCGGGGCGGGCGAGGTGGGGGCTTTCTGCTCCTGTAAGGCGCGAGAGTCTGGAAACTCACGGGGCACTTATGCTCCGGCCTATCGCGTTTGCTGTGAGTCCGAATAAACTCAGGAGCGGTGAGTTTGGTTTGGGTTGGTTATGAAAAGCAAGCATTCAGAAGGTGAAAATTCAATTAGAGATTTCTATATTATATATATGTCTGTGGGTATATCAGTATATTTTTATATCTGCTTAGCATGTTATCTATTGTTGCCTACTATACCTGAAAATGTAATCTGTTGTGATAAGAATTCTATGAAATGCATTTTAAATTAGAATTCACTCAGATGTAATTTTAAGCAGAGAACAACAAATTATTAAACATTATTAAAATATAGTTTAGAACGCCTTTTTACACAATTTGTTCGTACCATCCAAGGTCAGTACCTATTCATGGGATCCAAACCCCATGTATCACATATACTTAAGTATAAGCCATCCTGAATATCAGCCGAGGCACCTAATTTTACCACAAAAACGGCATTTAAAATGTTGAAAAACTCAGCTTTATAAAAAAAAATAAACATTTTAAAAAGCCTCAGCTTTACATAAGTATATACAGTGTCTTAATTTGGAAAACTACACATTGACAGTTTACCTTAAATTTGTATTTATGGGAAAGGTGCTGAGAGGAGAGGTTAGGGACCATACTTTAACTGATAAATCATACAAAAGAAATCATGGCTATTATGTCCTACCACTCATAGTACCAACTACTGAATTTTGGGGATCCCTGGAAAGGCCACAGAAAGACCATCATTCTCCTGCAAGGGCTCTGTGGACCCCCCCATTAAAACATTGTGCTCCTGGTGGTGAAATCGGCACCCAGCAGGCAAAAGGGGTGCTTTTTCTTTGTTATTGTGGCTACAACCACTTACTTACAGTGAACGCTTGGCCTGGTCCATGTCTGTTTGCTTTCGGTGACTATTTTAAATGGAATGAAACTTAGGTGAACTGTTCTTATCACTACAATAGTTTCATGAAAATTTTTATAGCATATTGTTATGTTCATAATCCTGAGGTTGACAGAATTCAATTCACATATCCAAGTATTGTTCTAAACATAAATAACTCCATTTCGGAATTCCACTTAAGCCTAAATACGAAAGAAAAAAAATGAGTTGATTGCAGTTCTTGTGGTGATTATAGGACTGATCCCTTAAATGTTTCACATGTGAAGAAATTGTTGTTGCTTTTTAAGAAACTATCTGTTTTGTTTCTAGGTAAATGAAATTTACCACGATGATTCCCTCGGTGTGCATATAAACGTGGTCCTGGTGCGCATGATCATGCTGGGTTATGCAAAGGTAAATGTCTGACAGTAGGCGAGCTGTGAGCCTCAGGAAAAGGGCTATCAGATAGAAGACTACGCTGCTCCCGCTATATCCAGCGCGTGTTTCTCTGAGATGCCTCTGTTGTTCTGAGCTGAGGAGCAGAAGGGGCCAGGATCTGGAGAGGAGCACGTGAGCGTGTGTCCTGATGCCCTGTGCTCTGTATTCCTTCGTCTAACGGGAATGGGGAGGTAGACTTCACGTTAGGCACGGCTGCTCGAGTGACAATACGTGGATACCGTTGTGGAGAAATCGACTTCCCTCCTCTTGTCATCATCACCAACTGTTTGATTCACTGTTCGTTCAAAAAGCCCGAATCCTGTCTACTCTATGGCAGACTCTCTCTAGGTCTTGAAATAGATTAGTGCACAAAAAGACCGGGTCTTCGCCCTTTCTTGATTTGCTAAAACCTTCTTTGACATGCGAGTCTTTCTACTTAAGTTAAACACATAGTGACTATTTTTCACTTAAAACAGCTTTTATCCTTTGAAAACCAAGATGCTGCATCACCAAAAGGCCCACAAGTCAGCTTTCCATACAATGCAACACGCTTTACCTGGTTTAAGATGTGCTACAGAGGACCCTGCCCTTGAAATAATGAAAGAATCCTGGTGTGGGTGGAATGGCTTATTCCCTTTGAGAAGAAAACATAGGAGAGTGATTAACTTAGTGATTTCTTCGAAGCTTTAGAATACACATCTAAAATTCATCCTCCTGATTGTAAAATGCATCCTCCTGATTGTGAAATCATGGACTGGTGCGTTTAGCAAATAGGAAAAATCCACAGGTTTCCATGGCATTGCCCCCTGAGCCTCCTCTGAGCATTTGCGGATGATAACGTGCCCTTGCTCTTTATCCCAACGTAGCCACTAACCCGGAATCCAAGTCAATTCCAGCTGCAGATGGTAACTGCGTTTGGTGGGTTGTTAAATCATTTGTTTGGGGAAGTATGTGATTCGTATATAACCAAGGATGAAAATTTTACTAAGAATGTAAACAGTAATAATAATATTTGCTGAAATGTAACCAAAGTGTCAGCCTGTCAAGTTCTATTTGGGTTCCAAGTTTAATTCCTCATTTTATCAGAGCTCCTTTGGGAAGTATGGTCGGTTCCTGGCTTCTAGTAATGATAGGCCCTATTCTCTCTCACTTTTAAACCCTGACCACAATGGGCAGTAGCAACATTCCAAGGAGCTTACATTCACTGATTAGAACTGCAAGATAAGAGCATGTTCCTCTTAATTGCCAGGAAGTTGACAATATGATGCGTTGTTTTACTTCTATTTTTCAGGAGGGGGTTAATCTAATGTGATCGCTCCCCGTGAAACCATCAGCATAAATCTTATCCAAGGATCTTTTAAGAATATCTGGAAAATAAAATCTCATGCCATAATTGTTCCCTCAATTTTTCTCATTAATATCTATGAAACCAAAAAAGTGCAAGCTGAATCAAAACTACTGGAACTCTTGCCAAAATGATTAATATTGAGCTGCCTTAAGATAGCAAAGCTCAGCAGCAGATAGTATGGTGAAGAATGTCAGGGAGCATTCACATGGGCAATACTGATCACTTTGGAGATGCCTTTTATGGACAGTTAGAATTCTGAAAGCAAAGCCGATATCTAAATAAGCCCTAAGCTGTATCCTTGGGGCTGTGCCGGTATAGGGAGTGACACGTTGGTCTGCTAACCCCTAAGTCAGCAGTTCAAAGCTTCCAGCTGCTCTGTGGGACAACTTTCTACTCCCGTAAACAGTTACAGGCTTGGAAATCGCCGGGCCAGTCCTTCGTCCCATAAAGACGGTATGAGTTGGAATTGACTTTGAGGCAATGAGTTTGGTTTTGTGTTTTGATTTAAGCAAGATTACTAAGCCATTATTTAAGTAGAATAATACCAACTTTCAATTTCTGAAAAAGTTATTAAAGAAATCTTCGTGAAGAAATGATATGTGTCTTGAACATATTCTTTTCATTTAGTCGATCAGCCTTATAGAAAGGGGAAATCCGTCCAGGAGCTTGGAGAATGTGTGTCGATGGGCTTGCCAGCAACAGAAATCTGATCCCAACCACTCTGAGCACCATGACCATGCAATTTTTCTAACCAGGCAAGATTTTGGACCTGCTGGCATGCAAGGTATTTCCATCAATATGTAGGAGAAATACTTAAGGGCATGACTTCTCAAAAATTTAATCCTAAATCAGACAGTCGGTTCAAATGTTCCAAGCTGTATCACCACTTTCCACCACAAACAGCTAACCATACTTTTTTTCCCTTTTATTGCTTCTAGCATCTTCTCTGAGACTCAAAGTATTACATGCCTCTTAGGGACTGTGGTAAATTTCACTTTCCTTTAATGACAGTGCCTCTGGCTTGGGGAGGTGGGGTGCTGCTGTAAAACCATAAAACGCTGTACGTTGTACAAGTCCCGCTATCTGGAATGAGAACAGAGAGGCCAGAGAAGTGGCTGCTGCTGAAGAACTTTCTTCCAAAGTCAGATTATAGCTAGCTGATACATTTTTTTAAGTCATTTTACTGGGGGCTCGTACAGCTCTTATCACAATCCATCCATCCATCCATTGTGTCAGGCACATGTGTACATTGGTTGCCATCATCGCCTTCAAAACATTTTCTTTCTACTTGAGCTCTTGGTATCAGCTCCTCATTTCCGCCCCCTCCCCGCTCCCCTCTCCCTTATGAATCCTTGATAATTTATGAATTACATTCTGACGTGGACTTTGGGAGAAAATGCAGACGGACTGTTTTCTTTTCATTGTAGATGGAATCCCAGGCTCTCTCTAGCAGAATGGTAACTGGAAGGCCCAGTCCCTAAAACAAGACTTAGTTGGTAGGCAAAGCAGAATGAATGGTAACCCCTGGGCACTTCCTTCCCTCAGGAAAAGGGGAGAGAGAGACCCACATGAATCCCTTTTGGAGACTATTACCTATGGCTTTCCCAAGAGAATGTGACAAAATGCTTGCAGGCAAATCATACTGCCCCTGTTTCCTGAAAAGTGCCCCCCAGCCAACTAGGCAAAGGTCCAGTAGTAATTCTTAATGGGTGTTCTCAGAAAATGAAAGTAATCGTCATTCTCTGCAGGTTATGCGCCAGTCACGGGCATGTGCCATCCAGTGAGAAGTTGCACCCTGAATCATGAGGACGGCTTTTCCTCTGCGTTTGTGGTCGCCCATGAGACCGGCCATGTGTAAGTCACTGCTGACAGCAGCAGGGCCATCAAAGGCCTCCTCTGTTTCCTCCCTGTTCGTCCGCACCGGGGGCGAGTGCATGCCAGCACGCAGTTCCACCCCCTGCCAAATGCACGGAGTTGAAACAGCGAGGAAGCCATGTACTGAAACTAAATGAGTAACCTATTGCCTGGAGGTTCATGTTATGCTTTTTGATAGCTATAGGGGAACAAATAAAAGAGTTTTTTTCCCTCATTGATTGGTTTCTGGTCCAGTTTCTCTGACTTCTAGTAGGAAGTCCCTTTGACTTCAAAATAGCCACCAGTCCCAGCATTAATCTTCAAAGTGGAAATGAAGCTTAAGCCATAGTCCCTGTGAGTCTTACCAGCGGGGTCTCCCTTTGTGTTCCAGGTTGGGCATGGAGCATGATGGACAAGGCAACAGGTGTGGTGATGAGACTGCCATGGGAAGTGTCATGGCTCCCTTAGTGCAAGCCGCGTTTCATCGGTATCACTGGTCCCGATGCAGTGGTCAAGAACTGAAAAGATACATCCAGTACGTCCCTTGCTGCATGTCACAGGAGCATTTCTGCTATAATATGAGCACAAGCAGGACACTGACTACTAACTTAAACCCCATGGTCCTAACAAAACTCCCAGTGAATGCAAACGGTTGTTCATAATAAACATGTTCATAATAAACATGTTCATACTCAGAGTAGCTGGTAGAAGAATTCCATAATACAATCAAGATATTGTAAAATATAAGCCCCAAGTTTAAATGTTTTTAACTGAGCTTTCTCTCTACTCAGTTCTTTCTCTCTAATCAATGTCTTTGATTAATGGTCAAAGTTGGGTTGAATATACAGGGAGGATAATTGTCAGGTGGTTCCCGTTTATTATATCCAAAGTGGGTATCAGGGTCTGTGCTGCTATAAGATTTGGGGGTGCAGCTAGCAATCCGGAATAATGTGCACTAGCATCCTAAGTCATATTGGGTGCACTTTCACCCAATCAGCAGGGGAATCAGCACGTAGTCTCTTCTAAATGGAACTGAAACCCCAGCCCTCAAACTGTGTACGTTTTAGACCTGCCTCTTCTGGTCTGATGAAGTCGCAGGGTCTGTCAGCTCATTTTAGGACATGATTGGAAACAACAATCCATTAACTGCATGTGTATATTCCTTTTCAGTTCCTACGATTGTCTCCTGGATGACCCTTTTGAACATGACTGGCCCAAACTCCCAGAACTTCCTGGAATTAATTATTCTATGGACGAGCAATGTCGCTTTGATTTTGGTGTTGGCTATAAAATGTGCACTGCGGTACGTCAATTACAGTCCATCTAGATTTTATGACTTGTAACTTATTTGCTTAGCTCCTGTCTGGTCAGCAGTATGCATTGATTAGCTCAAAACCAATACTGTCTGTTGTATTTGAGCGTTGCTACATGCAAAATTTAGTGACTGAAAGTTATAATTTAATACTTATAGCAGAAAAAAGGATGGAGGTGTGTTTTTTGTTTTGTTTTTTACAGTTCAAAAAGCCAGGCTTTACAGAGGTTTGGTTACATGAATTTGGTAAATAGAGGAGCAGGACTTTGAAATGTTGGTTGTCTTGCTCCTCCCATTGGCTTTTTTTCTCATTTTGTTTTCAGACACGAATCTTAGTCTTCTGTCAGTGGTTCTCAACCTTCCTAATGCCGCGACCCTTAAATACAGTTCCTCATGTGGTGGTGACCCCAACCATAAAATTATTTCGTTGCTACTTCATAACTAATTTTGCTACTGTTTATGAATTGGATGACCCTGTGAAAGGGTTGTTCGGCCCCCAAAGGGGTCGTGACCCACAGGTTGAGAACCACTGCCTTAGATAGCTTGCTTTTCCTAATCATATTGTCCAGGATTCTGTATACATGTATCTGTGACCAAGGAAATGATTGTGCATGAGAATCATGTGCAAGTCATCTCATAAAGCAAAGGACTAGAATGCAGGCTGCCCTTTGCAGATCATGTGGGTCAGGTCCTAGGTCTGTCCAATGATTAGATAAGTATAAGGTCTTGAGCGCCATGTTTACCGTCTCTGTTGCTCAGTTTGCTCGTGAGCATAATATGGGAAAATGAGGATTTAATGCCGCTAAAGTGTTTAGCACAATAGAGGCACAGGTGGAGTCTGTTAAAGCTATTCTTCCATGTGCCTATTTAGGTTAGAGTATATTTGATTAAATGTCTGTGCTGATATTTAGTAGTTCATAAAATAAGAAAGGAAAGAGTTTTGCATATTTAAAGAACATTTGTTTATTAGAACAATAACAGTTATTTCACGGTACTGAGAGGCATGACCTGTGCCTGTGGAATCTTCCAAATGATGACATTGACAACTATTTTTATCTATAAGGTAAATACTGTCAGCTCCTGAGTACATCAATTAAAGTTTTAACACTGAAAATTATGAAGGGGTGATTCAAAGCTGTGGAATAGTACAATTTTTGCAGTAAGTAACAGAGATTATGATCCCCCAAAAGTCCAAAACTGGTAGCAGTAATAAAAAACTATGATTATTTGGTGAATTACCATATCTCCCTGCCGTTAAGTTGATGCCGACTCATAGCGACCTTAAAGGACAAGATAGAACTACCCTGTGAGTTTCTGAGACTGTGATTCTTTAAGGGCGTAGAAAGCCCCATGTATTAGTCTACGTACTTTGGAGAAACAAATCCACGGCGACTCATGTATAAGAGAGAGTTTTATGTAAAGAAAATGTGCATCATGAAAACATCCCAACCCAATGCTGCCCAAGCCCACAAGTCCAACATTAACCCATTAACCCAACACCAGTCCACAAAGTCCTCCACCTCACAAAACAGAGGCAATGATGCCGACTGCAGGAGGAAAGCTGAGTCAGTGAACGAACAAGCATCTCAGCACTAACAGGGGTCTCCACACGGCTGCTCCAGTACCCAGGGCTGCTTCGGAATAGGTCCATGTAGCTTCTCCTTTGGGCTGTCTTGTAGGAAGTCAATCTTGCAAGCTGAAGCAGGGAACTGCTAAGGCAGCTGCGCCTGGTACAAACATCACAAAACAAGAGACCCGAGAACTAGAAAGGCGAGGCTCACCACCCATTTATCCCTCCACCTTTCAATTAGCCCCACATGTGATTACCGGCCAGGCTGGCACAATTAACTAACTCACCCCATCTTTTTTTCCCTCAAAGCCGATGGTGGTTTCAAAGTGGGGACTTGCAGTTAGCAACCCAGTGCATAACCATTGCAGGCAATGAATAATTAAAGTAATATTTAATACTTTAAAGACTCTAAAGAATGTTAAAATGCTTATATTTATATAGAAAGACTGGAACAAGTGGAGGAAAAACACATACAAATATTTATGTGTGCTTTAATTAAATTTGACTGTTCCATAGCACAGTAAGAATTTTTGTTATATATTCTTAGAGTGAGAAAATCAAGAATACTATCCTACTTGTAGCCAAAAGTGTCCACTACTCACCTATATCTTCAGCCACAGGAGAGGGTTTCAAATCATTTGTGGAAAGCAAAGTGAAAAGGCAATGACATTTCTTCACAAACTTTTTGAAGTTCCCTTGTATATCATTGTGAGCATCAATATATGGACAGTCTATAATCTATGTAAAGGTATTGAGAAAGCTTACTGTACTTTAAGTAGTTATGTTATATAGAAAGTTTGTTTATTTTTCTTTTAGTAAACTGATTATTATGGATTTTTTTCATAATTATAACTGTCTGGTTCTTGGGTGCTCCTGTAGGCCAGTGGGGAAGTGCTCCACTGCTAACCAAAGGGTGGTGATTGGAACTCTCCAGCCACTTCATAGGAGAAAGATGTGGTGGTCAGCTTTCTGCCTTCTTTTTTAATAACAAATGTTAATTGCCAATTAGCCGGGTGCTTACATTTAAGTTCATCAACTTTATATTCAGGGGTTTTCATCACCGATGAACCCTCCAGTAGGGTGAAGGGAGCAAAGATAAAGCAATGAACTAGACTGTTGATGGGCCTTACCTGGGGTGAAATGAGAGATAGTACTCCACGAGAGGGGGAAGCGGTCCTTCGGTCTCCTTTCTTGAAGATTGCATCTCTGCTTGCATAGTGGCTTATGCATTGGACTGCCTATGGATTGGACTGCAGTTTGAAACCACTAGTCCTCAGGAGAAAGATGAGTCTTCCTACTCCTTTAAAGATTTACAGCTTTAGAAACCTACAGAGGCAATTCTACCCTGTCTGACAGGGTCACTATGGGTCAGAATCATAGGAGAAAGATGTGATGGCGTTTTGGCATGTTCTTAGGGGCCAATTGTACTCTCTTCGGTAGGTTGCTATAAGTCAACTCCATGACACTGGATTAGGGCTTTTGGGTTGCATGTCACTCATAAGGAGCTCCCGAGTGGTGCAAATAGTTAAACCCAAGACTACTAGCTAAAAGGTGAGGTAGTTCAAACTCACCTGCCAAGGAGCTGCCTAGGAAAATAGGCCTTAGGATCCACTTCTTATGGAGCAGTCGTCTGTGAACCACCTGAGATTGTCGTGAACCAGAATGACCTTGATAACAGCTGTCAAGGGCATCTAGTTCATACCTACAAAGAAGCCACTGCGATGGCATGAAAGCTAGACAACAATGACAAATACCACGTTTAAGCTATTCATAGAATTGCTAACTTTTTGTGAAATTCCAAGATTGCCTATTTAAAAAGCATGAAAATACAAGCGTAAATCGGAAAGCATTGTGTCAAAATTACAGAAATCTTTAAAAAGATGGTGTTCTTAGTTGTTGACATAACCTTCAGCTTGGCTCACATACTTCTCGAGGCAGTGTTTCTGTATCTCTGTATCTCTACCCTTTCCCCAAGGAATTTCTCAATGTATACCACATTAAAATATCCACTTTGGCATCCTCAAGGGGTTCAGATTGTGTTCCTTAAACATGTTTTGTTATTGTTGTTGTGTTGCTTTGTTTTTAATGTTGGGAACCGAAGGCAGCCTGAAGGTGCCACATCTGAGTTATAGGATAAGGTGAAAGGGTAACGCTTCCCAATCAGATTCATCTAGGACAGCCCTTGCCATCCTCTAAGAATGAGAGAGCACATTGTCCTGATTGGGGGAAAAATTCTCCACGTAACTTTCTTGACCTTTTTTCTCACCAATCCAATTTCCTTAAAACTTCTTTATATTGAATCCTCCAATCTCATCCAGCGTCCTTTGAGAAAATCTATCAAGATCACCTTTATTTATAGTCTCCATAAACTTCAGTGCTTGAATGCAGCCCTGTAAATCTCTTCAGAAGCCATGCTTTTTGATTGGAGTTTATCCTGAAGACAACCTAACAAGATTTCAACAAGTTACAAGATTTAAACAAGTTAGTACTGAAAGAACTTGTCTGCAACTATCCAGTGATCACAGAGACATGTTTAAACATATCTCCTTTGGAATAAACATCTGCAAGAACGAACTGGAACCCCAGTACCAATACATTTTGATTCACCTCCCTGGAAAAGCCATTGTTTATCCTTAATTTACGAACGCAGACTGAAAGGATGCTCTACTTGAAATTCTGATGCAGTGCTTTCTCATGGCAGGCCACAGCCTTTTATCATGAACATGAAATGAGCATGTACAAGAGGAAGGACACGAAGATACTGTATTTCAATGAGAGTTTGATTCTCTCTTCCAGTTCCGAACCTTTGACCCATGTAAACAGCTGTGGTGTAGTCATCCTGATAATCCCTACTTCTGTAAGACTAAAAAGGGACCTCCACTGGATGGGACTGAATGTGCTGCTGGAAAAGTGAGTATATGTGCCTACGCATAGACAGGAATGTTGCATAGTGGTCATCCAAGAGAGGCTGTGAAAATATGTGTGTATATAGCTGTACTGCCATTATACACGAGGGTCCATTATGGCAATACACTGATAAAATGTTATTCATATTTTCATGTACGAGCTAATACAACATATTACCTTAACATATGAATACACTCCCTACTTACTTATTGATGCATTGAGTTTCTGAAAGTCAGGCCATTACCCCAAATTAGTGCTATGTATAAAGGAGGGGGATCGGAAGAAAGCCCCCAGGCCAGGACTCTGGGAACAACTGTGTCCCTTGCACACTGTGCTCTGAATTCCCAGGCCCTTGTGGCTGCTGTAACAAATTCCCACCAATTTGATGGCTTGAAACAACAGAAATTTATTCTCCCAAATTTCTGGAAGCTAGAAATTCATTTGTTTCCCTGAGCTGAAATCTTGGTATCAGTGGAGCCACGCTGCCTCCAGAGAAGCCAAGAGCGACTCTTGCCTCCTGTAATGTGTGGCGGCTGCCACCGTTCTCCGGCTGTTGGCAGCAACACTCCCGTCTGTGCTTCTGTGTTCACGTTACCTCCTCTTCTTTCCCGTAGGTCACATCTCCCTTTGCTTATCATTTATTGGGACTTTTAAAACTTTGCAATGGCATCTGAGGCCACCTGGATAATCTCCATTTATCAAAACCTTTCATTTACTCCAATCTGCAAAGACAAACCGCACCACCACCACCACCCCCCACCACCCCCCACCCCCGCCTCACACACACACACACACACACCCTACCTTTTATCCCCCCTAATATTCTATGAAGCTACTAAGTCCTTATTTCTGTCTTTGGGGCCACCGTTCACTCCCCTGCAGATGAATAGGAAGTCACTGCTGAATAGAATATCCAACCCCCTGCTAGTAGGACTTGATTTACTTGCATTTCCTTGCAAAAATCATGTGAATTTACATTTGGCCCAGCTCCTTGGGGAAAGATGCCCAGAGGGTTTAAATCTCAAGTGGTGTGGTCAGGACTGAATGCCCAGAAACTGGCTGAGCACCAAGCTCCACTCCTCACAAGGGGAAAGATACCCAAACTCAGAACAAAGGCATGTTAAGAACTCAATTTGAAGAGCCCTTCTAGTTTTGAAATTGGGAATTGTAGACAGGACTGCAGTTGGCAAAGAAAATGTATATAGCCTTTTAGTGTTATGTAAATCCTTTAAAGCTCTATTTCAAATGTGAATAAGCGGTGTTTGCTGTAAGAATTTATGCATTATAATAGTAAAAGCTTGCAATTATTAGTGTTTATACAATGATAGACACTCTGTTAAATACACTGCCTAAAATATCTTTTGACTCAGTTAATTGACTCATTTCTGCTTTATGAAAAGTGGCCTGTAAGTCAGCTCTCAACATCCAATTCCCCTAAATATACTTGTGTCATGTTTAAGTGTACTAGAGTTGAATTTTAGGAAACACACAGTTCTATGTAGTTTGAAGAAAGCAAATCAAAATATTGGAAAGGAAAGAAACTACTGTTTCTGGAGTACCCACTTTGGGCTAGACACTGTATGTTAGGGACCTCTGTACTATTGGGGTTCTATTGCTATTGTTGTCAGGTACCTACTAGTTGGTTCCACCTCTTGGTGACCTATCTGTGTACAACAGAAGAAACCGCTGCCCAGTCTTGTACCATCCTCACAATTATTTTTATGTTTGAACCCACATTGCAACCACTGTGTCAGTTCCACTTGCTGCGGGCGTGCCTCTTTTTTTAAGACCCTTTTCTTTACCAAACATGATTTCTCTCTCCAGAGACTGGTCCCTTCTGATAACATGTCCCCAGTCTTTGAGATGAAAGCTTACCATTTTGCTTCTGATTGTCCTTTTCAGATAGATTGCTTTGTTCTGATTAGGACTCAAGGAGTCCCTAGTTTAATTCTTTACTGGCCTCATTTCCTGAGCCCCAGTTTGCCGCATCTCAAAGGTAAGAATGCTATCTGTGAAGGTGATCTTTCAAAAGTATATAAAATTCCCTGTACATATACATAATTAAGGACATATTCTGTATATGTTAAATTGCTAACACCCCCCCCCCCCAATCAAGGCACATATTTTCATGTCATTCTTTTTAAAAGGAGCATATTACCTTTAAGAATCCTGATATTATTGATAATGAAAGAAGAATGGTAAATAGTACCTCACACAAGTTTAGTGCTATGATAAGTCTTATTGTTTATGGTATTTGATACTCACTGGTGAATGTATCCTTTCCAAACTCATGGGGAGGAACTTTTTTATTTAAAAGTCTGTGCTTATGAAATGCAACTTTAAATGATGTCCCTTATGCTGTACTAGTGTAAATGCTTTTGAATACTTTTAAATGCATTTTCCTTTCGAAACCAAAAAGAAACGAAGCCTTCCAACAGGTGGCTTTTCAAACCACTTCCGTTGGCGTAGGCAGAGTCGTTCATCGTTGTCTTCGCTGTCTTCTCCAGTGGTGCTATAAGGGTCATTGCATGTGGAAGAATGCTAACCAACAGAAACAAGATGGCAATTGGGGATCCTGGACAAAATTTGGCTCTTGTTCTCGAACATGTGGAACCGGTGCTCGTTTCAGGACACGCCAGTGCAATAATCCCATGTGAGTATTGCATCCCTCCCCTCCCACTGTACTGCTAATTATTTGGGGAACTAGCAGAACATATTTCATTACGTTGTTCTTACGATTCCATTTTATGAAATACACGTAATAATACAAGATGAAGAAACTGCTTGTTCACAGTGTTATAATCCACTGTCTATCTCAAATAAGCACAGTCCTCAGAGTGTAAATGATTAATTAACGTGCTTGGCCACTCACCAGAAGATTGGAGGTTCATTGCCACCCAGCGCCATCTCGGAAGAATGTTCTGGTCATTCTTCCCCAAATTAGCCATGATACACCCAATGGAGAACGATTGTACTCTGGAATACATGAGGTCACCTTGCATTGGGGTTGACTCCATTTCAGATAAACCTCCACTTAGCAATCTTGGGAAGAGGAACCGCTGATGAAGATTAGAGGCCCAAGTGAAGATTTCTTTTTGTTTTGGGTTTTTTTTTTCCAAGTGAAGATTTCATTGGTTGAAGAAGTAGCTGTGCAGCAGTTTTAAGAAACTGAGCAGAGAAAGTAGCTCCCTGTTCTCTTGGGGCTCGAACCATGTGAAGGCCTATCCGAGAAGGAGCTGGACCAGCCCTACCAGGGCTCAGAATGGGTTGACCTCAGAGTGAGGTAGCAAAAAGAAGCGTGAGGAAATTTTAGGGCAACAGTTCATTCATTCGTTCACTCAGGCTTAAATCCCCACCGAGGGCTCAGCAAACTTGATTTTGGGAAGAAAAAAAATTAACTGAAATATTGGACTTTCATGACCTTCCTCATTGTTTAGTTTCATGTGTAAGCATCCCTTTTTGTGTCTGGTGGCTGCATTTCTCTGACAATGTGTTTTAATAAAGACGATCAGCATTGCAAACTCATCATCTCAGAAAGATGACAGTAGCTTTCATGTTAGTAATAAAACCAATACCAACAATAATAGTAAGAGCAACTAAGGTTTACTGTGAGCAGGCTCTGCTCTGCGTGCTTTAGATGGTTTAACTTAGCTAATTCTCCTAACTCTCCTCAACAGAATGCAGTAGTATTATTATTTGTATTTTTCATGTGGAAACTGAGGCCTAGGAACTGTGGTAAACATTTCTTTGAGTTGTAGTTATACGTTTTGGACATGTTGGAAAATAAATTTCCTTAGTCAAAATATATGGTACTACTTTCTTGAGCCCAAGTGTGGGTTGCCCTTTCTTCCCCTCCCTGGTAGAGCTCGGAGGGTGTTTTGGAAAGGGACCAAAATGAGGAAGCGGGAGTTCATTCACTTTGTGCTGGCAGCTCAGAAGTTCTGGCTTCCTGCCCTCCAGCACTGTGTCTGGGAGCTTCAAAGGCTGGACCCAAGCCAAAAGGCCTTTTAAAATGTTGTCTTTTCTTTAGGCCCATCAATGGCGGTCTGGATTGTCCCGGTGTTAATTTTGAGTACCAGCTTTGTAATACAGAAGAATGCCAAAAACACTTTGAGGACTTTCGAGCACAGCAGTGCCAGCAGCGTAACTCCCACTTTGAGTACCAGAATACCAAACACCACTGGTTGCCACACGAACACCCTGACTGTGAGTAGATGCCTGCTTTATTTCTCCTAAGTGGTTGGTTACTTACAGCTCCGGCTTTGTCAACTCCAGTCCCCGGGCTCTTGATTCCTTTTGAAAATTTAGAAAACTCAGTGCTTACAGGAATAAATCCTTCTTAGTTTCCAAGAATATGGCTGAAGTTCTCCTTTCTCTTGAGATGTAAGGATTGTGGAGTATTTCCTGACAGACAGCATTACCATCATTACCAGTGAAAAGACCAGTGCAAAGCGAAACAATGGGAGTGCAATCTAGGCAAAGAAATAACTTCCTGATTGGACTGAAATCCCTCTCCTCGAAAGTGCTTCTGGAGTATGCCGATCATGCCTTTCTGAGTAATGAGAGAAACTCAGCTCTTTGACAATTGAATCAAGACCAATAAAAGGTCATTGTTAAATAATAAAAAGTACTTCCTGGCCTTTTACTTTGTCTTGTATATGATTTATCAATATATATGACTAGGACTCTTTTTTCAGGTTTAACTTTTCACCCATGGATTTTTAAAATTAAGTATGCTCAAATTGAAATGTCTACTGTATTTCTTATTCAAATAATAAAATAGTTACGTATCATCAGGCAGTCAATTACTGGTTTCCATTTAAAAGTGGTTTTAAAGAAAAGCTGTTAAAATTCCAAGGTGTAGCTTATTAAAAATGTATGTACTGTTTATCTATTTTGATTAATTTAGTTGCATAATTTATATTAAATTTTGTTAAGGAGGCCCTACAAGAAGCAAAATTGGCCTTTATATGATTGAGTCAAATAAAAGAGAACCTCTTTCAACCCTCTTAATAGCCATTAAAACCAATTAGGTTTTGAATTAAAGTTTATTAAGGAGCTGCTGTTAAGTCTAGCATGAGCTTATAACTCAGTTTGCCCGGGACAGTCCCAGTTTATTCCCGTTGGCCCTGAATTAAATTATTAATAGAGCCCCATTCACTCTCAGAAGCATACCACTTTGGATGACAAATTACATGGTCACCCTGGCTAAGGTAAATATGCCAAATATGCATACTTGTCTCCAATTCCTTATTTTATGTATTTGTATAGTATCCCTTGCGTTTGCAAGAAACCACATGGAAATTTTATACTTTAAAAATAGAATAGACTATGCTGTCCAAACATACCATTTTATGTAAATCATTTTATCCTTCGTACTATGCAGCCAAGAAAAGATGCCACCTTTACTGCCAATCCAAAGAGACTGGAGAGGTTGCTTATATGAAACAGCTGGTGCATGATGGGACACGCTGTTCTTACAAAGATCCATATAGCATATGTGTGCGAGGAGAATGTGTGGTGAGTTTGAATATACTTCACAGGCTTCCTATGGTGGTGTGCCACTCAATATTTAATATTGGTCATTATCTCTGAACAAAATTATTTAACTGTTTCCGAGATGTGAAGTTATATTATAATGAGAGTCTGTGGAGTAATCAGTCACTAAAATAAATTGAACTTTACTGAAATCGAACTTTGGTCACTGGAAAAATCAAGATTGGAATTGTTTTCAATGTCTATCTGGTTCTGGTACCTCCAGATTGGGACTGCAGTAGTTTAGAGACCATGCAATTGCTTTGAGTATTTTACTAGTATCTGTTAGCTATTTAAAGGAGCCCTGGTTGCCTAGCGGTTATATGTTGGGCTGCTAACTAACTGCAAGGTCAGCAGTTCGAAATCACCAGTGCTCTACAGGAAAAAGACAGGGCTTTCCACTCCTGTAAAGAGTTAATCTTGGGAACTTACAGAAGCCATTCTCTCCTGTCTACAGGGTCGCTATGAGTCCACACTGACTCAATGGCAGTGAGTTTTGTTGTCTTTGCTATGAAATGGAGGCCTGGGAGGTAGACGTTTGGGTTGCTAATCATAGGTGGTTGGTTGAAACCCATTAGCCCTCAAGAAAGATGCTGCTCTGTACTCCCTTAGGAGTTTCTAGTCTCAGACTCTGAGGGATGGCACTGGTCTTGTCCTATAAGGGTTGCTGTCAGTCTGTCTACTCAATGGCAGTGAGTTTCATTTGCTACTGTAATACAAACTTTAAGAGAGATTCACTTTTCTTTCTCTCTCACCTTCTAATTAATTATAAGTTATACCTTAAATTCCACTTGAGAAGAAAAGTAATAAAGATGCAAAAACAATAGCTTTTACCCCTTTTAAATTAAAATATAGTTTATTTTCAGGTTCATGTTACTAGTTAAATTTTAATATGAAAGTAATCTTATTCATTGAGTACACTGATCCTCAAATGTTTGACATTTCAGTATAAGAATTGTTGTTATTGAATCTCAAACATGGACACCTCACAATTGGGCTGAAATTTCCTCAGGAGTAGAATCTATCTCTTGTCCACTTTTTACCTACCACACTATCCAGTATACGCATTGTACTATTTCTCCTGCAAATTCCATCCTGAAATTAAAGTGCAATGCATGTCATTATTCTATACTGATATACAGCAAGTTCCTTAATTTGAAACACCTTCAGTTAGTTACCTATTAAATTATTGAGAAAATGTAAACTCTTCTGGCATTCAAGGATTTTCACAGCCTGTGCTATCCAGATATGCCACCTGTTCTTTCATGTAACATGAACCTTCCACTGGTTTCAATAATGTTTTTTTTTTTTTTAAATCAATTTATTGGGGCTCATACAATTCATCAAAATACATAGATCAATTGTGTAAAGCACACCTATACATTTGTTGCCCTCATTA